ATCCTGCAGTCGAGCTCTCCGGCGCAAGACACGGCGTCCCGGGCAAGGACACGGAAGCGGGACTCGACCTTCACGCTCTTGGCCGACTCGATTCTTGACTCATTTTTGGAGTTACTCTCTACTCGCACATATATAGCTATCTATATTCTATATATGCATATTTAGTATATATATTTTATTTATATTATCTATGTATATATACATATTGTATATATATATATACAGTATAAGTGTGTGTGTGTGTGTGTATGTATACATGTGTGTGTATATATAATTGGTATATACATGTATATATATGCATCACATATACATATTACATACATATATACACATAAATGAATGTTTAATATATATGCGTATACATCATATGTACATTATCTATATGCATACAAACACACTCAGGGGTGGACAATTACAGTCCTAAGATGGTCTCCGAGTGGGACTCCAGCAGCTCCTTCGTTGGTCCCCGCATTTGGCCCGGGAGACCTCTGTTGGGTTCGTACATCCAAAGAATCTGGTCATCCACCTGACCAAAAGACTAGATAATGTTACTTTGTTCACAACTTGAACTTAAATTTCGTAGATTTGTTCAATACACAATGGGCGACCAAAATATCTGAACAAAATCAATTAGGTTAGCCGCATATCGATTACTTTTAGTCATCTATCGGGTACTCTACGTAACCATGGTCGTCCCGAGTGCGCGAGAGAGTGGATTGTCCACCCTGTCATATATATATATATATATATATATATATATATATATATATGTGTGTGTGTGTGTGTGTGTGTGTGTGTGTGTGTGTGTGTGTGTGTGTGTGTGTGTGTGTGTTTATATATATGTGTATATATATGTATATATATATATATACACAAACATATACACATACACACACAAACACACCACACATACACACACACACACACACACAGACATATGTATATATGTGTGTATGTGTGTGTGTACATACATACATACATATATATATATATATATATATATATATATTATCGTATGTATGTATATGTATATATATGCATATATATATATATATATATATATATATATATATATATATACATATATATATATACATATATTCATTCGTTTATTCATAAGCGCATATATATATGCTCATATGCTTATCCACCTTAGCATGAATGGCAGCCATTGTGTCCCTCAAATAAGAACAAAGAAAGAGAAACTAACCTGAATCTTGGTGGTAATATTTTGGCGTAACGTTTGTGAAAAATGAGGGGAAAAAAACACGGAGAAAGAACATGCAGGAATATCATCAGATAAGAAAAAATGATATATTTGCCATACATTTCTAATACATATTTTTTTTAAATGCTAATTATTATGGGAAGCGTTTGTTATAAAAATATATTAATAGTGTTATTAGAATCATCTCAGTATTACTAAATGGGATGCTAATGATGGTGCTAATAACGTTTTGCCATCACTATCGTTATCAATCGGAATTACTATGCTTAAGATTTTTATTATCATTACGTGCCTTTTTCCCCGATATGGATATTGAAACTAGCTGTATTGTTATTGATGCTGTTAGTTTTATTATAATATTGTAAATAACATTCCTACTGCAGTACTAACATTTGTGGTTAAGGAATTGATTCTTAATAAACTACTGCAATTTACTCATTATATTCATCATTAAGTCGTTTTGTGTCGTGCGACCCACATCTAGGGTAAATTCTATTTAAACCAAGATCATTCATTTGTATAAAGTGAAAATCCAAGGTAAGTTCTATCAAATGATATTCATTTTTATTATGTGCTATTTTCAATCTTCCCTTTACGCTTAAATCAAAAGGTAAATCACATCCAAGGTAAGTTCTAACAAAGTCCTATTCAAAGTAAATTTATTTATTTTTCAAAGTGCCATTTTCAAACCTTTTCTTTACGCTTACAACTAATCATTAGATAAATTTAATTCTAATCCTCAATCAGTTTATATCTTATTGCAAGCAGTTTTTTTTTATGGAAGGGTCTTCCACCTTAAGTGTGATCCATCGAATAAATTAATGAATAAAATTCAGTATAATTAGTTGGATTTTATGCCTATTTTCATATGAAAATCTTAATGGATATATCAGATAACCTGTGAGACGACGAGGAAGAAAGTGTATAATGTAAACCATAGCTTAGGAGAGGTTAATCAACAATATAACAGTCAGAAAGTGTGATGACCTGCAAAATTGTTCAGAATTATCTTGGAATATTTTACGTATCAGCCAACCAAGATAGTTTGCACAGACAGTGCCAAGAGGAAGCCTTTGGGTTTATTCCCTTATGTCACGCTATTTTAGAGGGCCGAAAGGGGCTTGACATCATCCAGGTTCGGCTCGCCAAAACAGGAAGATCAAGTCGTCCTCAAGATTCGACGAAAGTGTGCTTAGGGTTTGAATTCTCGTGTATGTTCTGGAGGCAGACATACACTGTTTGAATAAGAGCCATGAATCTTTTCAGCTCAGA